AAGTCTCTTGTCTTCATGCCTTCAAACCCTTTAGAGCCCGGCAGAGATGGCCAGTGACCTGTCCAGTTCCAGCCAATACAGGGTCTGGCTCAGAGGGCCAGTCAGTGCTGACCCTTGTTGGCAGCCCCTGCGGGCTGAGCTGTTTCTTCTGCAGTCTCTGCCCCTCCGGGTCTTTCACTCACCCCCCCCTCCCCCCGCCGTGATCGTTATGGCCTGATTCCATCCGCAGTGAAGAAAACCTCACCGGCAGCTCAAGTGCCCTATTCAGTGCCCTTCATTTTTGGCAAAGAAAGATTCTGCATCTTCTCTTCACCACTGGTTCATTTTAACCTCTGCAAGCTGCCTCTGAGGCCACAGCCCTGGGCATCTCACTGCAGCAGCACAGCCATTTGGGGGTTTTCTCTTTGTCCTGTCTAAAGTCCCTTCTTCCCATGGGCAGTTTCTCTTTTGGGGTTTCCTTGCCAGTAACATTCTGAACATTTCCCTTCCACAGAGGCCCAGGGGTTCCACAGAAGCAGAAATGGTTACCCCAGCTCCCCAAAGGGGGAAGACGAAACCCAGATGGCAGGGGGCTAGCCCTGCACAGAGCAGGGACTTGGCAGATACTGAGGAACTGAAAGCAGACCAGGCTCCCCAGCAGAGCAGGGCGAGAGTCTTTGCCCCAGCCTCACCTCCCAGCAGGTTGTGTGATGCCAGCATGTTAAAAATCCCCACTGGTGCCCGTCTGTCCATCACCCTCTGCCCATCCCTGCAGCCACTCCTTCTTGAGTTCCCACATCTGTCAGGCCCTCTGTAAGGACAAGGGGTTAGTAAAACTCTTCAAAGAGTGATCATTGTCCATGAGCTCAAACTTTGAAGAGAGAGAAAGTGATACTCAAGGAAACTAATGATATGAAGGAAACCAATGGAAGGAAATTGATACTTAGGACACTTACACAATGGGAAGGAGTCGGAAGAAAGTTATGGTGTAGGTGAGGACTATAGTATGTGATATAATGGTGTAATATAGGCATATACGAAGAATAATGAGAGGGGGGAAAGAAATTGGTGCTGAAAAAAAATTACTGCAGAGGCCTTGTCTGATTCTGGGTTTTGTTTTAGGATTGGGTGCTGTCTGCTTGTGTGACGTCAGCCTTGGTGGTACATGGCAGTTTTTCTTAGGGGAGGTATAGCCTAAAATCTAGATAGCTACAGCCCCACTAAGAATAGGAAGCTGTCACATCACAAAGTTCCCCTGCAGTTTCAGGGGCTTGGAGAAGGGGAGCTCCCTGCCAAGGAGAAAGACCCAGCAAAGCTACTGTGGCTGAGAGATAGGCCTGAGTCAGGGTTTTTTGACATCAATCTCATCATAGTGGCATTGTGCAAGAACCCTTTGTTCTCAAGATAGCAAGGACACCACTTATTCATGCACCAAACACTCAGGGTCTCCTAGGGCCCAGGCAGTGTGCTGGTGACTGGAGGGAGAGGAATGGAAGGCTCCTAGTTTCTGGGAGGCACGCTGAAAAGAAATGGACAAATCATAGCAGCACGATGGGGTATGTGCTGTACAGAGGTGAATACAGGAAGGCGTGCTCAAGGCGGTGGGGGGCAGGCCCAGGGGAGGCTTCATGGAAGAAATGACATTTAAGCTCAGTTTTAGGGCCTGGGGGTTATAGAGAGCTGCTTAGGGCAAGGTACAGGTTTGAGGACATGCATAGTTTCATGGGGTGGTGAGAGCTTTGCTCTGATGCTGTGTGTGTATACACTTGCTGAGCATGGGGACAGGGTGGGTGTCCAGGGATGGGAGATGAAGCTGCCTAAGGCGGCTGTGGTCAGACCCTTATACAGCACCTGGTTGTACAGATCTGGGTGGGAGGATCCTGGGATATTACCAGGTAGTTACCACAGCTTGTTCTTTCTTGGTGAGGAGTATGGTAAGGCAAGGGGTTGAGATGGGATCGTGAATGTGGAATGGACACTGTAACAGTGCTTTTTCATGTTGGACATGCATTTAATTTTTTTTTTCATGCATTTAATTTTTTTTAAATTCAAAAAAGTCACTGCTGAAAAAAGGTTCAAGGCTCGGCGCCTATAGCTCAACCGGCTAAGGCGCCAGCCACGTACACCTAAGGTGGCGGGTTCGAATCCCCAGCCCGGACCCGCCAAACAACAA